CTAAACATGCCTATATATAAGTTTATGTGGTATAACTACAAAGTCCAAACCCGAGTATACATATACGTAGTCGTCGACTCCTTCAGATCTAAGTCAAGCTCTGAATCTTCCCTCTGTGACTCTGTTGCTCCCCTGTCTACCGGTAATCTACCCACCATGAAAGTCCAAACCTTGATCCTCAAATTTTGCTACATTTCTACTAGCAATTAGCAGAGAATCCAGGGTTTTTTTAATTTCTGCCATGAATGGTTTTTTGAGAATTGTTGCATTACTTTTTTGAAAATTTCATAGGTAACATCAAATTAAAAAATTTATGACCAAGAAGAAAAAAACTCATGAAATTAGTTGGAAAAAATGAGGTTTGAGATTTGCATATCTTTTCTTTTATGCCTTTTCAGGGTCAATGCAGGCAATGGGGCCTGCAATAATTGTCTTTCTTTTTCCCTTGCGGGTGGGACCTCCAATTCCAAATAAAGAGAAGAGAATTCTACTTGCTAAGTGAGAATACAAGAAAATAGTAGATAGAGAAACAGAAGAGACCAAAAAAGGAAAGAAGCAAGCACCTTCGCAGCTTCGATTTTTTCCAGGGAAAAAAAAATTAGAGCCAAACATGTGCATCCCTCTATTGATATTATTGATATTTAAATAAAATTTAATTTAAAATTAATTATTAAAAAATATAAATAAATAAAAAAGATAAATATTCCCTGTTCATAAAAAACATCGAATCTCTCTGTTACCGATTCTCTTTGGAATTTGGATAGCATGGTCCTCCAATGTACCCATAAAAAAAAATGCATAGAAGACCTTTTAGCATATAGAATATATCTTGAAATTTCTTTTAGTGATATTTGAAGTATTCAATTTATTGTTGCCATTGCATTCGATTTAATTTAAATATTACATTTGTTAATGTTTATAATGCACCATATAAATAGGTAATTGAGATATATTTTCACACATTTATTTAAAGTGAAGAATGTAATGTTCCCTTATTTTTTAAAAAAAGTGTAGTAGTGTATTGTGCTAAAGTGGGCAATTATGGTATTAATAAAATTTTCAATACTCATTTTGTTTGTTTTTAATATATTTAATTTAATTATTAATTTTTATATATAAATTTTAAATAAAAATTTAATTATTATATGAGTAAAAATTGAGAAATTTTTTTCTACATGAAGTTTTTATTAAATATATTGGCTCAAATGGCAACCCAAGAGAGGGGTTGAATTGAGTTTTCAAAAATTTTATGCGGCTTTCAAAAACTTCATACAGCTTTCAAAAAAAAAAAATAAAATCTTTTTAATGTTATTTTTTAATTATTTTTTAATGTTATTTTTTTTAATTATTTTTTAATGTTAAA